GTTCAAAACAATAAAATGGAACTATGAACTATGGCATAGGTTTAGGTCTCTGAAACCAGAGGTTGGGAGTGTGATTCCCCACTGGGCCTCCTTGCCAGGGGCTGGACTTGATGATCCTTAGGGTCCCTTCCAGTTCTGCAGTTCTAAGGTGGTTGTTGCAGTATTTTTATTTAATAACAGAATAAATGCTCAGAATAAAAATAGTAATACTTTAGGTCAAATATATGTCATGCAGCATTCCTGTATATCTAGGTTAATCCTTATTTTTCTACAAATCATGTCTAACCTATCTCATATTAATTCCTAATTTAAGGAATATCCCATATTTATTCCTCCTCAAATGTCACAACAGTCTAACTGCCGTTGACTCAGCACTCACCTGTCAATCAACCCATTCATTCTGTTATGCAACCAACTATAACTCATCTATACTTGTACGGTTACTAAAAACAAACAGAAGGGATGTGACATCGTAATGAATTATTTAGGAAAGTTATTTAAAGAATTTTGTAATTTAGAAAGAAAAGGACCTGTTAATAAATCCCTCATTCTGCTGATGTAACTTACAAATATTTTTTCTCTCCCCTTCCTTTTAATTCTGGAATAGAGGGGAGGTTTTTTAGATAACTAATGAAAGAAGAAAAATGTGGTAATAATGGTAAATGGTAATTATGAGATTTTTAGTTAAAACTAGTACCTTAGTCATTGTTTATTGCAATATTTGAAATTGGTATGCTGTTAAGATTTCTTCTTACAGTGGCCAAAATGCTCTTGCTTAGCATTGTAAATCCCACTAGAGTCTGACTGCTGAATCAATAGGGATCTGGTAGGTCAACTGCTCCATACATTCCATTGAGTCAAATGGGCCTACTCTAACAGTGATTTATTTTAGCATGGTAAGTTGTATTTAAAATAGGCTCATTAGAATCAATTGCACTCACAGAGGAGCTGACACACTACATCTCCATCAATTCAGTGAGCCTACTCTAGTATGTTTTACTACACCAAGCAACAGCATTTTGGCCAGTAATTACAAGAATTTTGGCTAAAGTGTGCAAGAAGAATACAAATATAGTAGAATAAAACTGATTAAGAATTTGGGATAATTTTAAGGTAGTAAAATTTATAGGCTTGCAGAGTATGGAAAAAAATACACACTGGAGATGGGTAGGTGGAAGTGTATAGTTCTATGTTAGAAATAATATACATGTCATTTTATCAAACTATAAGATAAATAATAGGTAGTTTTATTCTGTTAGATGAATCCAATCAATTCATAAGTTTATTACAGCCATATGACTTGCTGAGGTGCAGATTTGTAAGGGCAGTCTAGTTGTGACATCTGTCACCCTATTGATTGCCAGGTTTGATTAGGTTGATCTGGCAGGGTAAATGGGTGTTCCCGTCCTCCCTCACCAGTCCATGTGCATCCTTCCTGAAGTTGCGCATTCAGTAGAAGAGGACAACCATCCCAGATAGGAGTATATCGTTCTTTGGTCAAGAGTGAACAATAGCTGTACTATCTCATCAGAACCTCCAACAAACCCATTCTACTATATAAATGATTGAGTTGGTGGCATTTTATATCTCTACGGAATACACCTTTTGAATGAATATTAAGTCAACACTTAAGTAAATCTCACTGAACTAGTGAGTTTGCTCTACTCTTCTGGATCATTGGAAGGAACATGAAAGTACAGCAGCAGCCCTACTGTACTTTATCTTGCATTCTGTTCAGACCACTAATTATAGGGCCCGTGCCCACACACCATTCCACAGAATTCATGGATTCCCCAGCATATGGTTTTGCAGTGGTGCAAAAACATGGGTCTCATGCATGAATCATTCTTCCACTTCTATCCCATCAGTAGAAAATGAAATAATTCGGACACACATGTATTCTTGAAAGAGAAGAACAAGAAAGTGGCTATAGAGACAATTAGAAGATGGTAGGCAGTGTGTTATAATTTCTTGATCAAGGGGAGGGGCCTGGAGGTGACAACAAATAAAAAACAAGAATTATGATTAATAATGTTATTATATACAGTATTGCTAGTATCCTGATACAATGGTGATAGAACATTAACACTTGGCCTTTAAACAGTGGGGAGAGCAAGTTCAGGATATTGCTTACCATTTACTATGTGTCCCTATATCCACTTCCCTGTTTGGTCATTCCATCCATGCATGTGTATCTGAGATCGCATTATTTTACTGAATAGAGTTAATACTTGCTCAAGGCATTAGTAGATATCTCTTTGTGTAGGTCTGTAAAAATCCCACTTGCACATGTAAGGAGTGGTTGTATGTACTGAGTAGGTAAAGAAGATTCTGCCCTTATATTTTGGTTCTCATAATCAGATTAGTTTTAATTTTCATTGTGGATACTGGAAAAACTTCCAGTGTCTTTATTCAAAAGAACTGTTGCTGAATTTCTTGTGGGCTATTAAAGGAGTACAGTCTACAACCCAAAGATTGCTCAAGCAGAGACAAAACTGCAGCTTCAAAGAAATTGTGATCTCCAGTTTAAGGTCAGCCTCTGTACTTCTAGTGGCAATGAGTATGAAACATCATTCTACCGTACTAGTCATTTGGATCTAAGACCTCTAAGAGGCCCCGAGAGAACTAAATCCATCTTTGTGGTCAGAGAAGACAGGGCTGCTTCCAGTTTGCTTTCATACAGTGGTGCCTCACTTTACAATTGCCCCGCATAATGACGAATCCGCTTAATGACAATCTATTTGTGATCGCAATTGCAGCCGCAAAACGATGGTCTGAATGGGGGAATTTTGCTTTGTGATGATTGGTTCCCTGCTTTGGGAACCGATTCTTCGCAAAACGACGTTTTTTGAACAGCTGATTGGTGGTTTCAAAATGGCCACCGGGTGATTAAAATGGCTCCCTGCTGTGATTAGGGATGGATTCCTCGCTATACAGGCAGCGAAAATGGCTGCCATATGGAGGATCTTCGCTGGATGGTGAGTTTTTACCCCATTGGAACGCATTGAACGAGTTTCAGTGCGTTTCAGTAGGGCTTTTATTTTCGCTTTACGATGTTTTCGCTTAACGGCGATTTTCCTGGAACAGATTATCATCATTAAGTGAGTTACCACTGTATCTGCTAGTTTGAGTAAGCATCTTCTCTCTGCTATGTGTTTCTCCTGTTATAAAGAAAATAGAGTAAAGTTAAGAAATAAAAAACTTTTCTGATATGTTTTCACTCAGTTTCAAGAAGGAACACCAGGCATACTTTACACATCTTGGATTATTGGTGTGGGGGAATGAAAGGTGACTAGACAGTTGAGGAATCAATTTGTAAACACAAAAATGATGTCAGTAAAAACAGTTCTAGGTGTTACTTTGACAAGCTTCATGTGTATTATATTTAGGCAAAAATATTTCAGAATAATGTATCTTCTCTTGACTTCATTTGATCCATGAATTCATGTGCCTCCTATTATAATCAAGGAAGGTCCTTTCCATGTCAGTGGGTACAGGCCTACCTGATCTGGATTGATAGGCTCCCAATAAGCTGTTTTGGAAATAGAGCCTGGAAAAATTACTTTTGGAAGAGCTATGACTCCCAGAATCTCCTCTGCAAGCATGATGATCAGCAAGTCCCATAAAGTAACTTGTATAAATTCTAATTTTAAACACTTCACATTTACTTGTAAAATGTTGATAATCAGGGCACAACATATCTTTCTTTTTGAAGGAACAAGTACAATGCTGTGTTTGATAAAATTGTTTCCTTTCTGGGGTGAGAGAGAGTTTGGTTTTTTAAAAATATTTCTATAATGTCAGCAAAAAAAGGTTTTAATTGTTCAAAATCTATATGACATCCATTTACATGGGCAAATTTAAAGCTATACTTGACAAATGTCACAGAACAACCGACAGTGATAGAGCATGGAGGTTTTTAAAAAATGAGTGCTATCGCTTTAAGATAAGGTGCCTATGCGCTTTCCTCACACAAACAAGATCGATTTTGAGCAGACTCCCACTGTTTGCTTTCTTTTTTTGAAGGAGAAGAGGGATTCTCACGCTGCATATACTCAGCATATTCTCGATAACAGCTTTATTTTTTTTTTCTTCTCCTGAAATCCACCAAAACTGAAGAAAAATCCAAGTGACTGTTCTTAGCAGCTGTGTGGCCTGGAGTTCACTAGGAAAGCTGGCTTCCTGCAGTCCCCTATTCATCACCTGCTTCAAAGGCAGCCTAGCTGGCTATAGTTTGCAGGCCAGGTAGGGTGCCATTGTGCACAGCCTGGGAGGATTAGTATCAAAGCTGCGGCAACCAGGCCATTGGTCTTAGGCTGCCATTCAGTCTAGCCGGGAGAGGCTAAGACTGGCCAAGGTCATCGTATCCAGTGTGCTATGGACTGGGAACGGATCCTTCCTGAGAATAGAATGCTTCTTATGAAATCATGGCGCAAGCTTGCAGCACAGCAGGTGCCCTCCTGAAATACGTACATCTGTTTACGTTGGTGTACCGTGGCTGACAACGAAATAATAGAGCTTTTTAATATAATTTTTTTTCCTTAATGAAAAGAATCTAAGATACAGTCGCGTAGACGGGTTTTTTATTTTGGGGAAATTATAACAAAATATTTAGAACATTTAACTGATGCTTTTGTGTGTGTGTGTGTGTGTATGCACGCGTGAGGTCCAGAAGAGACTGATTTAACTATTTTTAATCTGTATCACTGCTGGATAGCAACAGCAGGATACCGTATATTTTCTCCCAATGTTCTGACATTCAGTGGGTTTGTACCGGATTTGCTTAGTTGTCATGCATAAGAAAATTACTTGGAAGAATTTTCTTTTTTTCCTAGAAATAAAGGTAATTTTTAAAGAAAGGGTGAGGTAAGAATGACGTAAAAATAATGATAAAACCAACTTGATGAAATTGTGGGGGGAGAAAAATTAAGCTGTAAGATGAGTTGTCATGACGACAGGGATGTTCTATTGATGAACTGTACTCTTCATTGTCCAATCAGATAGTAGAGCTGAAGCTGGAGCATGAACAGGAGAAGATGCACCTATTGCAACAGCATAATACAGAAAAGGATAGCCTGGTCCGAGACCATGAACGGGAAATTGAGAAACTAGAAAAACGGCTTCGGGCTGCCATGACCGAGTACGACAATAAAAGTCAAGAATGCAGGAAACGAGATGGGCAGGTAATAATTAATTTCAAAAGTCATAGGCTTGGATTTTCCCCAAAAAATCAAAATCAGTTTTTCCTGTTTTTAGTGTCATTATTAATGCACGCCATTTAAGAGTTTGCAAAACATATAAACATTATTTTATTTTTCCCTTTTTTCCCATCCCGCTCCCTCCCCCTGCCATTGCTGAAAAAGGCTTTAACTGACAAAACCACAGGTAGCCAGATTAAGAATCCCATGGTGTGCAATAACGTGGCCTGTTATTTATAATCTTGTCTCATTTTCTTTCATGATGGATTTAAAGGGGAAAATATATTTCTTCCTCCCCCTTTATCTACAAAACCCCCTCCCCCTGGGTAAGTGAATTAAATATATCCGTTATTCATATGGATTTTTAAAAAAGTTTCTTTCTCTGCAGGCAGCCCACAAATTACGTGTACTTTAGTTTTCGAATGGTTTGTTAGAATTTGGTTTTCTTTTTTCCCCTTTTCGCATATGATTGACTGAATTTTTCTGATGAACAGTTGAGATGCTTTGAAATTTGGATTGCTTCTGAGAAGAGTACATTTTAATTTAGACATGCATCTGTGCGTCTAATTGTGCAAAATTAATGTTTGTGCATATACATATGTATATTCTACACACAAGTGCCCACGTGGACACACATACATACACATACACACGCATACAGACACACACCCCTCCCATCTTTATGGTCGCTGTTGGAAGCCATTTGGCAGAATAGCCTCCAGCTGTGGTCGCATTTGACATTTCAGATGTATGGATGAAATGTGCACTGTCATAGTGGAAAATTATGTTTATTGGATGTTAATTTTTTAAAAAATCGTTTTGGTCATGATGATGGTTGTATTTACTGTGTAAGTATTTTGGCGTATTTCATTATCTGGAATGTATGTGCTGTACAGGCCTAAAGAGAATACATTTAAAACATTTTTGCATTATTTAGTAAAATAGAAAATAGTTATTTTGTTAGTGTGCATTAGAGTGGCATGGGTTTGTTTATTTATTTTTGATAAAAAAATTTTTTTGTAAAGATGGTGTCATTGCTTCTGTAGTTTAACCGCCATATATGTTTTGCTCTTGGTATCCTTTTAACAGGGCTTGGTTGAAGAATGTGGCCATGTGGACATCTTTCTTTATAAAATTGTAGACTATTGCAGCAATCTGTTTTGTATGATTTTAGTCATGTATCTTAGACACTTTGTGTGATTTAGGCAAATAATTATAATTACAGTATTATTATTTAGAATACAAGGAGAAGGTACCCTGGTACTTTTTTTGTTTATCTTTTTCTTGCTATTCTTTCACCTAAAGAGAAGGGGAAAATAGAACTTATGCATGTTTAACAAGAAATTGGTGCTTTTGGAAAGTTATGTAGCACTTGTATTGTTTGGGTAATAATCTAGTGTGTATTTTCCTATTCTTAGCTTTCTTTCACCTTGCTGCACCCCAAAGTGAGACGTTGGTCTATTCCATTAGCCTTTTTCCTAGGTTATATGCACTACAAACTACAAGTATGCTGTGCATCCAGACTGATACATGATTTAGTTGATGTAATAGTGTATAAAGAGCATATGCCTAAACAATTGAAACTACTGCTTTTTCTGTTCATTATAGACCAGTAGGTGGCTGCAATGGATGTAAATGCTGAAAGTTGTCTCATTGTAATCAATGAAGGGTAAGCATTTCACTCCCAAGTTCAGTTAAGTTTATTGGGAGTAAGCATTTGATTTATATACTTCATTTAGCTTGATTGCAACCCTTGAAAAGTTAAGCCATACATCTGGATTGTACCAAGTAGGCATGCAGTCCCACTTCTGAGACTCTAATCTTTGCTGTCTTATTTGTATGATCTACCTGATGGTTTTGGCTCAATAGCAAAAGTTGGCATCTGCAGGATTTAGTGGTGTTATTTAGCAGATATAGGAAAATCAGAAAAGCATTGCAGAGTTTTCCTGTGGTACTGAAATTAGTTGTATTCTTGTTAATAATCTCTGTGTCATCCCACTTATCCTTCTGTGCTATGTAGTAACTGATGAATAACAGCAAATGGGCTTTAAGTTAGATACATTTATTTCATATTTTTTATTTTCCCCCTATCTTATAATTACCATCCTAACAGTGCAATAAGGAGGATGTATTTTCCCTTGACTTTGCTGTTGGTTTAAAAAGGCTATCTATTCTTAGGATTTACTGGGGTGGAGTCAAGATGCCGAGTGTATTAATTTAATAAATAGTAGCGATATCATTCATAAATTATTTTTAAACTGTTTGCAGTGAACCTTTAATATAATTAGTACATATTGATTGTCTGCTTATAGAAACAGATGTAATAACATCAGGAATGCAGGAACAATGTGTGCAAATATTAATAGCGTATAAATAAATAAATGATGGCCTTCGATGTTAAACATGTTTTTGTATGGATCATGATTGCTTTTCTACTTCTAGTGACATAGTGGAAGCCATTTTGTTTAGCTAGCTTCTTTGTATACCTTAAATACTTCTCATTCTGATGGATATGTGTTTTGAAAAACCCTTTGGATCCTTGTTTTGGGGTTTTACACTAACAGTGATGAAGGCATTTTCTATAACTTTTTGGCTTCTCCTTCATTCCAAGCATCAGGTTTCCTTATTTTCAAAAAAAATCATGTTGTGTAGAATTTCTGCAAAAGTATAATAAAGTTGTGAAAAAAAGGAGCATTTTGAAAAGGCATTAGGAAGATTTGGTTGTGTGTGATATAGCATTGAAATCCTAAATAACTTGACTACCAAAAGATAGAAGGATTCATTCTTGAATATATTTGCAGTGAATAAACTAGAAATGTAGATGTATATTATATTAGTTCTCAAGAGTCAGTCAAAGTGTACATTTGTTTCTAGGTTTGACCTAATATATAATTATGTAGGAAGATAGTAGATGTGCTACAAATTTCTATCAAAAATGAATTTAGTGAAAACATGTCCCATATTTTAAAAGTCTTTTTTACAGTGGGAAAGAGGTTATTTCAACTCCAACTGAATTGGTGACTACCAAAGAATTCTAATGTTATAATGGCTAGCCTGTCTTACTGTATTCTAGATTCCGTTCTTTTGATTGAGAGAAACAATTTTTCTGTGACTGGACTATGGTTTTCATATAGTGCTCAAATTTAGTTGATAATGACAAATATTTGCTAACATCTTATTGTAGACTAATAACATTTCGGAATGGCAACTATTCAAAAGGACTAGTCATCCTAGCATCAAAGGGATGCATCTATGGCTTTAGTATGTAATGTTTATGTCCCATTAGATTTCATTGCAACTTATTGATTCATTTAGAGTTTGAATAACCTCTTTCCCAACTGTAACTAAGACTTACTTTAAAATATGGGACATGTAAGTGTTTTGACTTTTTAATTGAACTATCTAGCACGTATGTGTGAAATATTGGTTTCATGTACTACGTATCTTCCTAAATAATTATATGTCAAACGGTTATGACATAAGCACAAAGTTCTCATTTGGACAAATTATTGTAATAGTCTATTTAAGATAATACTTCTGAAAATATTATTACAACAAATATTATTACAACAAAATAGCCATATTTCAACAGAAAAAGTTTGTTTTTTTTTAAATATTTTTCTATCTTATATTGTTTTTGCCTAGCTGCTAGTAGATTATCAGTGTCATGATCATATTATTTCTTGATCCAATTAATGTCACCTTTTCCCTCACATATGACACACATCTTTAGCACTTCAAGAAGTGAACTATTCACATCTGCTGCATAAAGCTGTATCATCTTAATCCTTATTCCTTGACCATTTGACCTTTGGATAGAGAAGAAAGGAATGTATTTCAGAAAAAAATGACTATTCTGTTGTAAAGTGAACACTAGAAACATGAAACCCTTTTTGCCTATTTTCTGTTACGATGAACTGCCTTCCCATTTTCTTCCATTCATAAATGGTTCACCAATGAATTGGGCAGTAGGACAACTTTCATCAGTTATATTACAGAAGATCAGTGGTTAAAATGTTGCTGCAGAATGCACTTGACCCTGAACAGTTGTCATTTGTCAAGATAAAATGATACATACTCTAAATTAGTATAATCATATGTCAGAGTGATGGAAAATACTCCCCTTATTCTAAATACTTTGAAATAGGAAAGGAACTCATATCAGAATGTGGCATGAACTAGAAAAAATAGTATCTATATGTTTTCTTCTTGTTTAGTTTTATTGTCCTTGTATCTGCTTTGCCACTATTTCATTTCTGTGTAGTTTTTTTCTGCCCAGCTTTCCTTAATTTTTGTAAATCTTCACTAATTTCTCACTTTTTCTTTAATAGCTACTTCTGTCCTCAGCCTAATTTTCAGTGGAGTACAGTACTAAAGCACTTTGAGTCCTTTTGAATTATTACTCCTGATCTCTCGTTACTTTTTATTGGATCACCCTAAACCTAATTTTGGTCTACTAACATTCTTATTAGACAGTTGAAAATGCCTTCAATTTACAATCCCACAATATTTCACTATTATGGTTGCCATTGAAGACAAGACTGAGTTCAGTACCTGTTTGGAAGCGCACACACCCTTCAGTTGTTCTGAGGTTTTATGGCAGTTTGCATGAGAATGCCATAAAAATGGCCCTAAACAAATAATTTGCTATGTTTTAGAACATAGATGTAGGCTTAGAGAATTCTGATCATTAAAGAAACACTTCTAGCTTATTGTTTGCTTTATTTTCTTCTCACCTACTTCAGTAAACTATTCAGTAATTTTAAGTGTATTCTCCAGAATGGGATGGATTAAGAGAATGTTTACCCCCTTTATGAACAATTTACTATGTTCTTCATTGGACCTCTCACAAATATGGAGGCAATAGAGGCACTGAGCATTTTTCTTGCCTGCTAAGCTGTATTCCTTGATTGGTAGTTAGAACTGCCAATCATGGATTTACACTCCCTCCCTTGCCCTTAGTATGAAAAGTTTGGGAAGAAAGT